GGGAATAATTGTTACCTTGTGTGCATAGAATTATTTAGAATTGCATATATATATATTAAAAATCCTCATTTAAAATACTAAATTGAGAAGGATATTTTAAGTTAAGATAATTTTTAAATTCCTAAGGCTTCTATTTCTAATTCGTTGGTAAATCAATTAATTGATAGTGTGGGCTTCCCCGAGGATGACATTACTTGAAAATTAATTGAAGGATAATTGTCAGAACGAATTTCTAAATTTAGACGGTTAGAGGAAATTGAAGTAGAGAGTACGGGTCACCCCGAGGTAAACGTATAATCGATTTTGACGACCTTAGGGCCGAGAAATGGGATTCACTTAGAATGCGATTCATTTCATAACCCCCCGAGGGGTCCCTGATTTTTATTGCATGGCCAAAAGGTGACCGACTATTAATTTTGTTCGTCATGAAATTGGTTTTGACTAATGGAAATTAATGGGTTCTGGAAAAACCCTTCTTTAAAGAAACGAAGAATTAGTAGAGTTGCCCGAGCATCATACTAAATTCTCAAGGTTTAAGGATGTCGGTGAATTTAAGTTAGTATTGTTTTGAGGATGTCAATATTAACAGTTAAATTCAAAAGGTTTAATCTGTAAAATATTTTCGTAATTCTCAGGTTTATTCATCATGTCGTTCAATCCGTTGTCTGTTATCCTAAAAGAAAATCAACTCACCGGTCCTAATTACATTGATTGTAAAAGGAACTTAGACATAGTGCTGACTGCTGAAAGCTATAAGTATGTGCTAACTGAGGTTTGTCCTGATGTGTCGGCTGATGATGCCTCAGATGAGGAGAAACGGGAGTATTCTCGGTGGAAGAAGGCTGATGAGATGGCGAAGTGTTACATTCTGGCTTCTATGTCAAATCTCCTTCAACATCAGCATCAGTCAATGGCCACTGCTGCAGATATGCTTCTGAACCTCAAGGAACTGTTTGGGCATCAGTCGAGGGCTGCAAGACAAGAGGCTTTAATTGCTTTGATGAACACGCGCATGGCAGAGGGTACACCCGTAAGGGAGCATGCTCTCAAGGTCATGGCGCAGCTGAATGAGCTAGAGGTTCTTGGAGGTTTTATTGACGGGGAAACCCAGGTCGATATCATGCTCCAATCTATGCCGAAGAGTTTTGATCAGTTCCGGTTGAACTATAACATGCACAAGATGCATATGGCTCTTCCAGAACTGTTGACAGAACTCCAGTCGGCTGAGGCCTTGTTCACTCAGAAATCAATTGTGATGGTTGCCGAGCAAGCCGGACCTTCCAGGCCTCACAAGGGCAGGAAGAGGAATAAGGCTGCAGAAAAGGCAAAGGCACAGAGCACCCAGTTAGTGCCTCAACAGGCTGTGGCAAAGAAGCCGAAAGGTAGATGCCACAAATGCAATAAGTCAGGGCACTGGAAG